CAGTGTGTAACTTTTCTGATAGAGGGTCCTTCACTTGCATGAAAATATAGCTTGGAATGTTCCACAGAATGGCATTACACTTATTTATCTCAACGGAGACAGCAGGTGACACCACAGGGCCAGGTTACTCGTCTGATCTGTGGAGAGATGAGCCCACTCAGAGTAAGAATGCACGTTTTAGGTCAACAGAAACCCATGTTATTGAGTACATGCAAGTTGGATATGTTTAAAGCCATACCGGGACATTCCAGACAAAACAATAACATCTCCATGGAGACAAGCAGGCGGTGGACCCTACACTAGAAAAGTTACACAGTGCACCTTTAAGACTATTAAAACACAAGTCATTAAAGGCCCATATCTGTTCTATATATGATATTTAACAGCCCTGATATGTTTGAATTTTTTGGCTGATTTTTCCACACAAACGGAGGTTGTAACATGATTTGAGATTGGGCCAAATGTTCAGCATGTAATGTGTAATGGGGTTTATCTGCTTACAATGTGCTCCATTTGATGTTTTACTGTTGTACTGTTTACTATACATTTGTGGGGTCCAAGCCACATGCAAAAATCTGGTAGATGCTGTGTATTCTGGCGAAAGACCTAAACAAAATATAAGTAAAAGGATGGCTGGTGTGAAAATTGCTATTAATAATACTAATAAACTACTAATAAACACAATTTTTTGCCTTATTTTGGTCTTGGTTTAAGGTTTTAGTTTGACTCATCTTTATTATAAAACTTTTTCTAATATTATGCAGTGCTATATAGTACACACGGCTGAATGGGACAATAGGACAGACCTGGGCATTGTACAGTTCCCAGCCCACATGCGATCCTTTGGTTGACTCTGACCAGCCCCTTTATTATAAAAAAACATGTTTTATAATTTTACCTCATGCATGGACTAAAGCTGGGGGGGGTTATGACATTTTTTGTAAGGTATACTCACTTTTTCATTGCTTAGTCATAACATACACTCTTACCGGTCTTAACCGCTTGTCAAAACAATGCTATTTACTGCTTTTCTATAAAGAAATACAATTAATATTATGCAGAAAAGAGTTAAGCATTTTGGCCTGGCCCTCCACAATATTTTCTGTTTCTCCCCATTGAAAAAAAAAAAAAAGCCCTGCAATAGGCTATACCAGCCATTCCCCCTTTATCACTGTGAAGATCACTCAGGGCCCCTCTAATAATATTTTAGACTACATGAGAATATGTAATGGTTCTCCTTAGATATTATATTAAAACAATGTATTTTATAAAGTTGATTTAAAGGGACAGTTTGGAATTTTGGACATAGACCTCATTTCCTAGTGAGCCAGAGTGTTGGAGACATGTGAAGACACTTTTTAAAATATTCCATCCAGTTTCTGTATTTGCAGAGGTTGCTGGTGCTAGGCTAGTGCATGTCAATGGCCATAGTTAGCCTGCCACTAAAAACAGTCTTACCCACTCCTCAAAACACCCGAAGCAAATCCATTATTACACCAGACTGTCGATGTAAATGTCTGTGTTGATGAAATAATGTTTGAAATAAAACTAACCTTAAATCGCATGAATCGTTGCATGTTGGGGGTCTATTTTCTCATATATTAGTCCGCCGCTGCCAAGCTTTCTATCAGGAAGTACAACTCGCTGCTGCTGCTCAGACATAAATCCTTCAGATGCAAGGTTGGTTTTACTTCTAAAATTATTCTATCAACACAGACATTCACATTGACAGTCTGGTGTTATAATAGTTTTACATCGGGTGTTTTGTGGAGTGTGTAAGACTGTTTTTAGTGGCAGGATAACTGTGGCCATTGATATTTGCTAGCCTAACACCAGCGACCTCTGCAAATACAAGGATTGGATGGAATATTTTTGAAGTGTCTCCACTCATCTCCAACACTTTGGATAATTAGAAAATGAGGTCCTATGTTCAAAATTCCGAACTGTCCCTTTAAAACCTGAATTTCTCCTTCCAAGGCCCCTGAATGGCCCCGGACCCCACTTTGGGAACCACTAGCCTAAACGGTTTAGATTTTCTCATAAGCAATAAATGTCAGATAACAAGACTGACATATTTGTCTTGCTTGTATCCTCTGACATTGATTGTTAAACTCTACATACAAAATACAGTCTTTAGGCTCCCAAACACCTGGCACAGATGGCATGATGGGAAAATGGAAAGCAGATGTGTTAAAAGGACGCTCTTGGGAGGAGGAGGGGGGACAGGTGTGCCGCTCTATTCTGGGTATAAATGCTCATGCTCAGCTCATTCAAAAACAATGGCTACAGTTGACCCCATCGCTGTCGTCATGAAGATATAAAGACAACTAATAGGACTTGGTTTAACAAGCGCCGCTGCCTTCGTGTGTGTGTGTGTGTGCGTGAGCCTGTGTAGGCGTCTGTATGGGTGGATTGCCAATTGAGATTAAATGTCACAGAGAAAGCTCATTTCAGGTCCATATAGAAAGACGAATGAAGATTTTGTTGAGTGTTTAGGGACATCATTATTGCACTGCAAAATAACAGTGCATAAAAGGCCATGAGCGCTCAAACAAGGAGAAAATATTGACCTAATCTCACTATTGAATAAGATAGAGAGCTAAAACCAAAACTGGGAATCTTCTGCTTTATATAAATGCTATATTAATTGATAGTTCCTGAGCACAAATGATCCCAATAGATGCATCAAGAATTTCGGACTACCGGTCATTGTGCAATGCATACTGGGAAGAATTTTCTGAAAAAGTGAGCATCAAACCGCCATGTTTGTTTTTCCAGTGGGATGCGTCTATTGACAAAGCCAGTCTTTTCTAGTCTTTTGAACCATATCGCTTTTGTTTCTGGTTCTGATATTGTCATATTTTAGTTTTGGGATTCAGACATCGTAATTGTGTGGTTGTTGGATGTCCTAACACTGGAAAATGGCTACAGAAATGTGTTTGCAAACTCCATAAATGCAAAAGGAAATCAGATCTGTGTGACTGCAAACCTCCATTCAAACTGTTTTCCTTCCCAAAGGAAATGAAAAACAGTGAAAGGCAAAGGTGATGGGCAGGATTGATCCACGGGAAGGACAAAAAAGCAAACCTTTGACTGCCTAAATCATCCCGAGTTTGCAGCAAACATTTTGCATGTGGAGCGCCAACAAAGCGAAATCCCGATTCCGTCATGCCACCTTAGTTACGAATTTAAAAAGTCAACGCCAAAGCGAAAGGCACCAGCTGTTCCTCAAGAAATAACTTCCACTGCAAAGCGACCAAGACGTGATGTTGCTGTAAAGCCACAAGAACAAGTGCGAGCTCAGCCTGTTTGTCTTTTGTACCTCTCGCTTTACAAATGGGATCCCACTTTGATGGCGCTCCACATACAAAATGCTCGCTGCAAACTCAGGATGATTTAGGCAGTCAAAGGTTACTTTTTTCTCAAACTAAATTTCTTGAGCCGTTTTCCGCTGTTAGGACATCCAACAACCACACAATTACAATGTCCGTAATCCCAAAACTAAAATATGACAATATCAGAACCAGAAACAAAAGCAATATGGTTCAAAAGACTTGAAAAGACTGGCTTTGTCAAATGCCACTGGGAAATCAAACATGGCGGTTTGATGCTCACTGTTTCGGAAAATCCTTCCCAGTATGCATTTCCCAATGACCGCAAGTCCGAAATTCTTGATGCATCTATTGCAAAATCATCTGATGCTTGTAACTTGTGTAACACTCTTTCAACAGCCAAAGCTAGTTTAGCGCTAGGCCTGTCATGATAACAACATTTGAAGTCCAATATTTGGCTGAAGAATATATAGATATAAACAAGAATAGTAAAACTAATTTATGCCACTGACACAATAATCCTAAAATAGAATAATCCACAAAAAACTATTATGAATGTACCAAACAGTTCAAAAACATGAACTACAATAAATAAAGAGCAGAATGAAACACTTGTAGTAGTTTGTCTATCATGAGTCATAGATGTATTCATCTCCCTACAGCTCAAACCTGAAATACTAAAAAATAACACAAATATTTCTCTACAAAGAAAAAGTTCCCATGATAACTACTTACCCCCAACATAATAATAATAAAAATCCATCATGTATTGAACAATAACTGTATATAGTAATAATCATGACATGCCGATTTAGTGCAAGAAAATCATCAAGTAAATCGACTGAAGTTCAGATGCATTTATTTTACCTGTAGAATATAGTGAGATAACAAAAACCTCTTCTTCTTTTGTGCAATATTAAATCCATAAAAATGTTGGCATAGTTCCAGAGTTATCTAACCAACCAGCTAATAAATCCTCCTTGTGATAAGATGAAAACTGCCAGACCATGGAACCTTCTTTTTTATCTCCATTATTATTGTCGAAATTTGTATATAGTTTTATAGCTATTGGATAGAAATGTAACATGCGTCAGTTCATTGTTTTCAGCATGATGACAATTTAGGACATAGCAACAGCAATCGGCAACCACAATGTCAGTGTCACTACTTCCTGTCCAATTTTATCTGTTAAAATTAATAAATATTTAAAGATAAAGCATTTAATAGCAAATTGGGAGTGGATGTGATTGAGAATATGTTAAAAGGTACACAAATCAAACTAATTCTTCACTGGAGAACACTGTGGCTTAAAGGTAGACGTTTGTGTTTCAATGTTAACATGAATGCTAATTTTGAGGCATAATAAATACTTAAAACAACACCCCAAAGTGAAGTTATCTACATTTAAAAATAATTGGGTAGGCTTTACTTTAATTAATTTGAATTTTATATTTTACTATTTTAATAATTGTTATCTGCGAGCTACCTAGGATGCGGCTGTGCACAGAACCAATTACAATTCAAAACATTTTTTCTTTTCTGAATGGTCACAGGTCCCCCAAAATGCCGCCTGGAGCACGAAGCTGAAACCTGTGAATACCAATACGCAGCAAAATGATCAAGTCCTGACTGGTGTTTGGACTTCCCCACCATCATCGTGAAGTGTACCTGAGTTGGAGCTGTACATGTAGACAAACTTGGTCCAGCGGTAATGATCGATGACCCCCACCAGGGCGTCCTGCAACTCGGGCCTCAGCTGAATCACGAACTGGTTGGCGGTCTCAATGGGAAACGAAGGAGTGACGAAGCAGACGTGAAGGGCCCCGCAGAAAGACATGAGCATATTCACGGTCTTCCTGTCATACAAGCCGATGATGGCGTACACCCCTTTGGAGAACTGGGAGCAGACTGGAGAGAAAGAGAAGGAGAGAGAGAGAAAAGCAAAGGTCAGGATTGTAGAAAAAGATTTAAGTGGTGGCATTAGATATTCGTATCCACTGTGTACCCATTGCATTTGCATACATTTCAGTATAATGATAATTTATAGCCTTTATTTCTATGTTAAAGGGCAAATGCATAATTTACTATATTGAATGTATTATTGTTAAATCTACTTTTAATGCTCCTTTTTTGTTGTGTAAAGGCCTTTGAATGATATTGCTTAGGAATTGTGCTCCCTGTTGTTATTGTATGGCACCAGTGATGTACAGGAAGTGGTTAAAGCTGTGGCTCCTAAATGGTGGAACTACTGATACTTTGCAGCGGATGTCATCAAAATTCCCTGGGGATGTGATGCTAACTGTGGGCACTGCTGTGTTAAAAGCGCAGTTACTCATGTTAGACTTTAATCTGAGCTTTATTTTTAACACAATCTGACTTGGTTGGAACTACAGCAGGTGAGATGATTTGTGCTGTTAAACAAGTCTCTCACACATAAAATTATAGTCGCAAGCTTTAGCCAATAGTTTTTCAGTTAGTCACTCACCTTTTTGTGGAAAATCAAACATCTAAACAGGACCATAAAAAATAGTATTGATCACAGGTTCCTGATAGTTAGTAGTTTGAATCCATTTTGTCTTAATTTTTTTTTTTGTCAATCTTAAATGTTTTTTGTCAGTGTTTGCTAATGTGTGCATTGTGTCACCATGGTAACTGATGTAGAACACCCCCCGCGTGATGTCCCGGCAAAGTCTCAATGGGCTGCAAATGATTCAATATTTGGATCATATGCAAACAAACTAATTATTATCTTTGTCAACACATTATTGCCCCACAAAATGTAATCCAAATACTCTTCTAACTTCTAACATACAAATCAGCAAACACAAATGTTGGGTGATTTTACAATATACCACCACTTGCCAGTTTTAGTGCATGATAATTTGACACAGATTCAATTAAAGGTGCACTATGCATCTTGGGGTGTGGGGTCTGCTTGTCTCCATGGAGATGTAATTGCTTTACTGTGGAGTGTCACACAGTGTGACATGAAACTTATCTATCATGCATTTATTCAGTTGGATGTGTTTAAATTGCTAAACACGTTGCATTCTTCTTACTGTTTGCGGAGTTACCACTCCACAGATGTGACCAGTAACATGAGCTGGTGGCATCAACCTCTTTCTATGGAGTTAGATACATTTGATGCCATATTGTAGAAGATTGCAGGCAAAGCAATGACATCTCCATGGAGACAAGCAAGTGACAGACCATCCACCATCAAAGTTAGTTAGTGCCCGTTTAAATTTACCCAAAATTACAACAGGAGTCACTTTGAATGGCCTCTCAAAAATAAGGGATGCACCGAGGGTTTTATTTTCAAGTTTTTCAGTTCCGATACCAATATTAATGTTTTGTCTAAGAATCTGCCAATATCTGATATTAGCCGATACCGATGTAGGAAATGAAAATACAATTTTTTCTCTCAAAATGCAGTTAACTTATTATAACACTGATCTGATTATGTTATGTAACTCTTATGTTTCCTGCACGTAATTAAACAATTTTGTATGAATAAAAGTTCAAATATCATGACATGTCCTGGGCCTAGATCAGTCAGTTAAGAGTCCAACCATGATATCGAATGAACCGTTATCATGGAACCAATATGTGATACTCCAAAATTTCCTGAATCAGCACTATGTTTGATACCAACATTGGTATCTGTCCACCCCTAACAAAAAATAGCTTAACATAAAGTTATAAAATCAAATCTTTCCTATCACAACTTTTGCTCAACAAAACTGTTTAAAACTTTACAAACACAATACAATTCACTGTTTTGTGATCAAAGCCTGAAACCAAAACCAAAATAGCCACAGTTTAGCACTTCTTCTTGTACAGTTTGTCCACTTTGAGGGTCTTGCTCGGACCAACTAGTCTCCAACACAATGATACAAAGATGGCGTTGTGGTCCATCTGCCCGTGTACAGTGCGTGATGGGCTCGAGAACGCGGTGGCGGAGGAGGGGGTGCACAAGATTAGGGCTGGAGAGGTTAATCAATGCATCCCCAGGGCTCCATTGACATTTCAGAGGCAGCAGGAGGCGGTTTACATCCCTCATTTGCCTTTCTGCCAGGCTCGCTCCAAATGTGTTTTCTCACCTTCCATTGTCTGCCTGTCACTCAGTCTTTTTTCACACCTTTCATGTCCTAAAATAGCTAATTTATGTTCACAGCCGGCTATTTGGAAGGTATATCCTCTCTCCTCTTTCCGTGCTTTTGCTGGATGCTATGAGGCAGACTGAAGTGCCTGTTTTCGTGCTTTGACGTTTTAGGGGGGTTTATAGTTGATGAAATGTTCAGTGCTTTGAAACAGCAGTGTTAAATGTTTTTCAAAGTTCTCTATATGACAGTGTTGACAGGTGCTTGTTAAAAAGTGAATGTGTCAATTTATTAGGTGACATTGGGTACATTGTTTATAATATGACTATTTAAAAATCTTTACAGGCATGTTTAAAGGGCTCATATTATGCAATTTTCTGATCTATATATGATATGATTATAATGTTGTTTCCTTGTCAAAAATGTACCTGGAGTTGTGTTTTGTTCCATTCACACATGTTTAATACACAAATTCTGTATATTGACGCTTAGGAGTTCTTCTCTCAAACAGAAAACACTCTGCTCCACCTTTTGATGCCATGTTGTAATACCGGAAGTGCACCACTGTGTTTTTAAATACATACACCTTCATTAGAATCATTTGGATTCAGCCCTGGAATTGCCGATTTCTGCTGAACAAAAGGTAAAAGGTAACTTTTAATTGGAAAACGTCATGATATCAGAAGGTATAAGCTTTGGAGATGTAGAGGTGTTACTCAAACATGTGTGAATGAAACAAAACACTCCCCTGGCTCTATGAAGGCAAGCAGGTTAGGCTATCAGATCATGTTCCAGATCAAGTCAGTGGAGATGAGGGCGCACTCATAATAAGGATGCATATTTTTGGCAATATAAAACATCTGTTGAATAAATGCAAGTTTAATGAAATACTGAGCATTCCAGGCATAGCATCTCCATGGGGTCAGATACACAGAGAATATTTACACACATTTCTGATGAACTGCCATAACATGATGTAATCTCTTGTTAACAAGGGAGTACAAAAAATACTGACATATTTATTTTAGCTAATTTTGCCCACTAAAATAAATGTAGTAAAGTAAATGTATGTTTAGATTTGTTTTACCCCAACTCTTAACAGTCCAGAATTTAAATAGCAGTGTGGATCCACTCTCATGTCCTAAAATAGCTGTTTTGTGCAGTCCCTCCTTTTTGGTAAGTACCTCCTCTCTATGCTTTGGAGGGCAGGGGCTATTTTCTGCTGTGAGCCATACTTATCCCACTATTTACCAAGCAGATTGAGGTCTCTGTCTGTGCCCATGTTAAGAGCCAGCTCGGCCCTGGGATGACAGAGAGTGTGGGGCCTATTCCAAAATGCCTAACCTGCCACAGACGTGCACCCACAGAGCAGACACACGGAATTGGTAATGGAGGACGAGGAGTAGGGCTGCACCAAAGCACAATGCTATGCTATACTAAATATAGTTTGTATAGATAGATAGATCACCTAGGAGAAGACATTTAGATTTCTATTAGTCAACTGTGACATACATGGGCCATCAAACACATCAAATAAATCACAAGGTTACACAGAAAATACCACAAAATACCACAGCACTTTATTATTTCTCATGTCACTTTAATATGATCCAGCCTCTGATCTATGGAAACAAACTTGGACCCTGATTTCTTGACATGAGTCTTCAACTACCTGACTGAGCCGCCACACTGACTTGGAAATGCAGTCTTTGGTACAATAACAACCAGCACTGGAGCTCCCCAGGGTACTATCACCATCCCTGCTGAAGCACTACAGGAAATACACCTGAGAAAGTGGGTTATTAATCATCAAAACTTTCTCAGTAATGTATGTTATGATTCTCTTTGGATCATAGAGATGTCATGCTATGTTTCCCTTGTTATGTGTTATGTAAAAATTGCTGGTTACAGAGAAAAAACACTATGAAGAGGGGGGATTTCAGTTATGCAGTTTTGAACAGGAAGTTCATGAACCTGTTTCTATTATTAAAGTATTTTCAATACTAATTCAATATTACACTTTACAATTGACAAAATGTAAAATTAGTATATATGTATGTTATAGTTTAATACTAAATATATCCCCAAAAATCAGACATCTGCTTTAAAGGGGAGTTGAGAGAGAAAATGTTGGGATCACGCACACATGCAGCCCCTAGTGTTCCAAATGCCTGGTGACTCACCCTACTTAAAGCAGGCCCTGAAATAGACGTTTTGCGCCTCTCCACACCAGCTCACGAACACAACTATCTTTCGTTCATGGTCGGCACTCTCTCTCATGGTAAATGGACACGCTCTGAGCTCTTACCCACCGCCATCCCTCCAGCCTGCATTATACTTCCTCTGACAATTTTCAGGGTCCAATTTTGGAGGTGTCCCGGATAAAAGGTAATGAGCTTGTTTGACTTCTGTGCTTTGGCCTATTACTCCAGCCTGCAGCAGGTGAGCATGTTCCAGTGAAGATGACTCATTTCTCATTGCTGCAGAATGTCTAAGGAAAAAAAAAAAAAAAAAAAAAAAAAAAAAGCCATGTGGCACCGACCTCCCGCTCAGAGCTGGCAAGAGCAAGAAGAGAGAGGCGAGTGCTTTTTCTAATTCAACAAGCGGCCATTAGTGTAGCACAGCAGTCACAGCTCTGATTTGGATAGAGAGGGGAGGCGCCATATTGGCTGTGCTGTTGGAGAGGCTTGTTAGCGCTGCTCCACATGTGCACTGACATCAGAGTACGCGCAGCAGACCTGGAGGAGGACTTGAAGACCTCCACAACACCTGTCCACTCTGGCACTCAGTCTCCTCACCACGGTT